CAAGTTGCATCTATGCCAACCAGTATGGTGAGCATACAATCTGTGCTCGTTGGGATCCATAATTAAGATCAACGTGTAGGACACGCCCGCAACCCGGCACTTTTCTTTGGCTAGACCTCCTATCTTAACCACCGAGCTACCTGGCGAAGATCAGCTCGTCAGGGGTGCGCGAAGGGAGATCCAACGGGATTCCAAATTCGTCAATATCCCTTCCGACGTGCTCCTTCCCATCATCAACCGCCTGAATTTGGCCGATAAGGCCCATCTTCTGGCGACTTGCCGATACATGCGCCAACTAGTAGAACCCCTCCTATATCGCTCCTTGACCCCTGATGATACTTGGAGGTCTTGCCGGCGCGTCCGTCTTCTCAAAACGCTTGGTGAACGTCAAGACCTTCTTCCCCTCATCCGCTCCTTCCAGGGGTTCCTGATCCCGACGACAATTTCTGGACCTCACCAGTCAACTGAAGAAGCTCCAAGATACGATCTTTGGCCGGGAGAAAATTTTCAAGGTCAATGGCTTGCAATAGCAGTGCCATTACTCACCCAGGCTACCAACATCCGGAATCTAGATCTCACAGATTACTTTGCGTGGGGGAACAACGGTCGCTGGGAGCTTTTTAAAAGTGTCGTTTCCAATATGAAATTGGAAGGGCTTGCCTTGAACTGCTCCTCGCTTGGACCGTTAGACTTTGCCCCAATATTGTGCGAGCAGCCAGGGTTGATGCGATTGGAGCTCGACTGTCCTACAGCAGGATTCGATGGACTGGGGAAGGAGGATGTCCCGCAACTCACGTCATTCAAAGGGACACTGCGACAGGCGGGGATAATTGTCCCGGGACGCCCAGTAAAAAGGCTAGGGGTGACATGCGTTTGGCTGGATGAGTGCCAGTGCATCAGTGAACGCGCATATCAGACCCTGGCACTCTCTTCCGACAAAATCAAAGAGTTCACATTGGTGCCGCACCCAGCGCCCGACAACGACACGTTTAGAGCCATGCTTCAACTTATCATGCAATACCTACCGGATATCGTGAGCTTGACGATCGTCCCAAGGTATACGGTCTCGGCTGAGGTTGTACGTCGCTATCTAATATCCGTTATTTGAAGCCGAGGACATCTGATCAATGGTACCCTTTATTTCCGTATCAGCTTTTAGATGAGATCCCCAAACTTTCTTCAATTCGTCAGTTGATGCTTTCGGAATCCTGGTTGATGTTCACAAACGCCGAGCCCGATGCCTTCAAAGGGAACGACTGGGACCGGTTCTCGGAGAGGCTGAAGGAGCTTTGCCCATTGCTCGTTGAGGTTGAGTACACTCCATTCATATTACCAATGTGCGGTAAGTATAGGACAAACGTGGGTTCCTAATTGGCGATTTCTCTGACATGTCGAATTCAAAAGGGCATGCTGCAAACCTCGAGCGTTTAAAGCGACGCGATTACCTTTGATGATTTACGAGTCAACATACTCATGGACAGTTGGAAGGAGGTGAAATGAGCATATTGTTCCGATATCAAACTCTTGTCATGCTGCGTAACTTAAAACGCTTGCGTTACGGTACTGCTTCATATTACCATGTTGCCACCAGAACTAGCACTGCAGTAAATACTGCCCAGATGCAGAATCTTATGAATTAACATGAAAGAAGTTCCTCATTGTGTCATGATTGAAATGGGTAGGAGGAAGTGTGACAGCAAGTGTGAATGCCTTATTCATAGTACGGGACTCCATGACCGGTGCCCTGCTGCGGAGGCTGGATACTGCACAGGCTGCTCTCCTTTTTGTTATGTCAAATACCAGAGCCTCTTTAAAGAAATGATCTCAAAGTAGGAGGGGAGCCAATGAGCGTAGGACAGGGAGCGTGAACCGCAAAATGGCGAACGGCACCTTCTATTGCGCCAGGCACGGGTCACTCATCAGCCCACCGTGAATACATGCAAGAGAACTTTCAGGACTGGGTGCAAAACTCATCATTTACCTCGAAATCAAGACGAAAATATCCACCCTGTTCCCTGAATCAACCCAATAAAAAAAGGCCCAAAGACCCCGAATCCCCCGGAAATTGGAGAAAGCTAAGGAGAGGATTCCCGTGATAGACATTTAGGGCCCATCGGCTTGCGTAATAAGCAGGGGGAGGTGCTTCGAGGTCCAATATCACGTCAAGTTCAAGGTCCCCTGTTACTTGAGAATAGAGGTCAAGATAGCGAGGCTCCTTCGCCCTGACCATGAAGCCGCTGGTACCAAGATACAACCGCGTTTGTTCCCGTTCCTACTACCATCGGATCTGCCATGATTCAGCACATTTTCTAGGACCGGGCGTCCAGTTTTTACGAAGGAAGCAGCACCACTACGATCCACTAATTCCACCGGCCACGATTGCCCAACTTTCCCCGATCGTGATTCAAATTATTCTGACTCTGAAGCATGATTCTCCATCCCATATACTAGATTAGTTTAAATTTACGATATCTGTTGAGCATTGGTCCGGCAAATCAAGGGGTTTTGACGCGTTCCTGTGGGTTTCTCGACGGGATGCGCCCCAAAACCAAGCCCAAAAAGGTAGAAAATATGAGAAAAATAAAAAGAACTGTTTCCAGTAGCCTAACGCGGGGGTCGAACCCGCAACCTTGAGATTAAGATCATCTCTTAGTGAATAAGAGTCTCACGCTCTACCGATTGAGCTAGCCAGGCAGGCTTGCTTAAATGTCCGGCCAGTCTTATTCATGGAGAAATAATTTGTCTTCGGATCTTCCTGTCGTCGCCAGCCAGTTTCTGACCCTGGTCGCCAGAAAGGCTAACCACTGGGGTTAGCTGTCCTCTAAGACGTAATACAATGGTCGTGGGCTGTGCAGGAGCGCGAAACGAGGTTATTCACCTATCCTTTATCATGACCTCCTATTATTGAAGCTTCAACGCAAGCTACGGTACTGAAAATAGCCATAATTACAGTCTCTATTGTCTCAATACCTCTGTGTTGCCTTATTATTACGCTGGATTCATGAAATTCGCAGGATCTCGGGGGGGGGGGGGGCTTCATGCAGACGAAAAGGAACAAATATGTAGCTTGTGACTATTACTTGCAACTTTGGCGTTCGAATGCTAACTTGGTTGAGACTTTAGGGACCTACGTTTTTTGGTCACAGTATGGCCCAAAACACGCTTCTCGCGGCAGCGTAGGAAGATTCGTCCCATAGATGCTTCTTCCC